GCTGCCCCTCGCCGAGAAGCGGCGGCTCAGGTGAGCTGCGAGGCGCCCCACTCCTCGCGAGCGGCTCCTCCTTCTGCCCTGGGACTGCTGCTGCTGTGCTCTGCTTCCTGGCACCTTTTTCCCCTTCCTAAATGCCCCCCCCCAGCTCTGTGTGTCTGTGAGTTCTCTGGCACATCTCTCTGCACGGAAATAACTTTTTGAGGTCTCTTTATGTCTCTTTTTGCTTCCTCTTTGTGCTGCCCACCTGCCTGTGCAGGCCCTCCGTTGTTGCGCAGGGAGCGTGTCCAGGGCTAGGGTGTTTCGCGTGCTCCTGCGATGCCGGGAAAACAGCAGGACCTTTAAACCAGGTGCTTCCCGGCCTGGACCCGGGAGAGGTGAAGGTGCAGTGTCCTCCGGGCAGGGCAGGAGCTCGTCTCTTGTGAAAGCAGCAGGGAGCGGGAAGGGCTGGGAACAGGTAACGGACCTGGGAAGCTGCGCCCTTGCTATGTGCCTTGGAGCAGTGTAATCCCACGGGCTGCAGGGAGGACCTGCAGAAGACCTGGGCCGTGGCGAAGGGAAGCGCGCAAAGTCCCGCACGGTGTTCGATGGACGATGTGGGGAGGCCAGAAGTTGCAGCTCTCTCCTCTCCAGCACTGATGGGGGTCAGGGCAGCAGCTGCCAACACAAAACGCCCAACAGAAAGTACTCTGAGAAGCAGTCACGGATCAACTGTAACGCAGGGGGCGTGCGGCCCACGCTCTGCGTGAAATGCAGAGCCAACACAGGCCATATGGATCTGCACTGCGTGCTGAGGCCTGTAGTTTCCACTAACTGGAATCTTTTGAGAATAGCTGTGTTTGCGCTTAGAGGTGAAGTCATCTGCTGCCTCTTTGCTTGTGGCAAATTGGTTTAATTCGGTTTCCTGACAAAATATCATTTTTTTTTTACCTTCAGGTGAGTAGATGAGGGACCCTATCAAGACAGCGCACTTGGCATTTGCTGTGCTCTCAATGCTGTGTGCAAGTAATTCAGTGAGTCACTTATGCACATAAGTAGCTTTGCTTACAAATCATTTACAAAATTGGAATCCTCGTCTTCTATTTTTGTGCAGCATTTTTGCAGGTACTTTTTCAAAGCATTATAAGATTAATATTTTTTAGTAAGAATTGGAAGATGCAATATAAAGGTAAAATGGTAAAATCCAAATGGGATGTGTAATTGTCTTTATAGTGCCATGTGTATATGTGTATATATTTTTTTCTTTTCACAACGTATTTGGACTTTTCACTGTACCTTTGAGGTCTTTTAATTTTCTATAAAAGAAAAAAATCTATTCTGAACAGGTCCCCCCCCGCAACTTTTAATGTTAAGTAATTAATTTTTTTTAACAGCACCTCGATGAAGATACTTTGGTCAGGTGTTCTAAGGAAAGTGTCCTTGCTGATTTTTCCTGCCATTTGTGAATATGAAATTCTCAACAGAAACTTCACCAAACCTCCTTGCAGGAAGTACAGCTTCACATCGCTATGTTGGGCTGTTGTTAGTTGGATTCCTCTCCATGAGAGGCCTTGTTATGATTGAATTAACATTGTATCACAGTTAACAAGAGGAGAAGATAGAGACAAGTAGCATGTGTCATCCCACCTTCTTGTGCAGTTACGTGTAGTGGCAAAAGTAGTTCTGCTTAGTGGTTATATTTCTTGTTTTTTTAGGGACTTTCAGGAGGCTAATATAAAATTTTTATCTGGATGGAATCAGTGGAAAAGAACCAGCCATAAATCATGGAGAAAAGTCCTCGATGAAGCCAAGGAGCTGTGTTCTTACCTGGAGCTTTGGAGGCATGATATTCACAGCATTGAAGGTACTTGTCTTGCCACGATAGTTGCTGCTGTTTCAGGCTGCTTCTGTTATTGATAGTGTGTGGTTTTACATATGTGTGCGTAGTTTCAGATGTTACTTTATTCATCTAAGAAGTTGCCTATTTCCCTTGTTATTGCTGATAATAAAATCCATGAAGGAGTAGACAGAAATATGTTGGATGAAAAGATCAAGTTATGTTTCCATTTTGCTAGTATTGTTATGAATGCAGAATATTTGCAACTAGTGACAGTAAATTTTTTCCTAGTTCAGTGTAACTGAAATCATGATCTGCGCCTTTTTTATATATGTTTTTTTCCTTAATACAACTTAATAAGTAACACCTTTTTTTTTTCCAGGAAAATTTGGTACTGGCATCCAGTCCTACTTCTCCTTTCTGCGTTTGCTGAATTTTGTTATTTTTATCCTGATGTTCAGCTTTGTTACCCTTCCCACTGTCATCCCTAAATATGGAATTTTCAACAGTAGCTTTGCTGAAGCTCCTGCAAGCAGCATAGGTAACAGTTTTCTCCATGTTCTCTTGTCGTTTGCATGACTCTGGGTCCTCCCTGCTGGCTCCCCAAAAGAAAAGTGCTTGCTGTTCAGGAACATGTGCATTTGAACTGACTTCATCTCACAGTTTAATGGGCATTGCTGTTCTACTGACTTTTCCCATCTTTCTTGGCAGAGCCTCACTGCACTGTTTATTCACCTAGTGGTAATAAAGGCCTTGTTTACTTCTACACATACCTCAAAGATTTGCTCACTGGCACTGTAAGTGATCAGATATTCTTTTTAAGTTTCTAAGTCACGTATCATATGTAAAGTGTGAAGTGATGTTCTGATAATTTTCAGAAATGGTAAGGCATTACTGGGGTAAAATGTTAAAGTATCACCGGAAGGTGAGTTTCCAAACTGGCTTTTTCTGAGTACATTGAGGCCAGCTGGTCACATGCTCCTCTTCCCCAGCTGCTAAATGTTTTGTTTTCTGGAGCATGCTTCTTGCTGTGCTCTCTGCGTAGGCTCTTGGTGTTCTTGTCCCAGGCTCTTTGATGGAGGATTTAAGCACACAGTGTCTATATTAGTTTGTTAGAGGCAGTGTAAGTATTTAGAAGCAGGTGGGTTGCTTGGGGACTGAGTAGTATGTTTGTTTATTTTATCAAATGCTTAGTTAAAATTAGCTGGGATTTAACTGACTAGTTGTTGCTCGTGTTAAAATTTTTATTTAAATTTTGCTTTTTTTATTTTCCACAGGGATTCCTGGAAGTGACAAGTTTATTTTATGGTTATTACACAATAGATGCTGCATGGATCAGTATGTTTAGGTACAACTTACCGCTAGCATACCTGCTGACTACATTTGCTTACCTTGGATTAAGTCTCCTCTGGATAATAAAAAGGTAAAAATGTTATATTTTATTTACTGCTATCTGTTGCAGAGTTTACATTGCATTCCCCCCTGTAGGGAACACAGAACTGTTTTGTATATAAGTGATGAATTCTGTTACGTTTTTGAGTATGCTGGCTCTTGGGGAGCTGAGCCAGCAAAAAACTATTTATTCAAGATATAAGCTATTTAAAATGAACTAAAAAGAAATACAATAGTTTTCCAGCTCAGTTTCCTGAGCCAGTTCTTTGCCATGTCAGAAAAGCTTTGGATGCAGTGGGAATGTGTGAGCGTGGGCAAATGCAGAGGGAAGTAATACAGATCAATTCTGGATTCAGTTGCCTTTGCTGCTTTTTCCTCACTCCAAAGGTTCCCAAAGTTTTACTGATACAAAGCAGATATGACTGGTTGCTATTCCTGCTCTATCACTTCACCTTTGAGCCTGGTTGCTTGAGGTGTTTTTTTTGTTGTTTGTTTGTTTTTGTTTTTGTTTGGATAAAATACTGCTTTTTAAGTAGAGCTGCATCTTTTTTCTAGGTCTGTGGAGGGATTTAAGCAGAACTTGGTGCATGCTGAAGATCAGTTTCAGAGTTACTGCAACAAAGTGTTTGCAGGCTGGGACTTCTGCATTACAGATCTAAGTGCAGCACGGCTCAAACATCGCAGCTTGCAGTATGAGCTGAAAGTGAGTATAACTTAAATGTTTTTCTTTCATTATTGTTTGATATAGCTTGATAAACAGACTGGGGATAAGAAAGATCAGAGTAGCATGTAGTCAAGGCGGGTGGGGAACCCACATCCTCTTGCTTTCTGAATAGCAAGAATTGTGGTGCAAAATGAGAAGGATTGGTGCAGAGGTTGAAGGCCCTCCTCCCATCCACCAGGGACTGAAGCCAAACCCATAAAGTGCTTATCTGCCCCTTTCTCACATGCCAGTTATGCTTCCTGTGCTAGTTCCTACGTAATCTATCAGGAAAAGTATTTCCAGCTGTGGACAAAACCCTAGTACTATTGGGAATCAGTTTGCATATGCTGGGTTATAAGTCTGCAATATTGTAAGCAGTTGTCTGGGGAGAAATAAAATGCAGGCGATTCTTTCCATACACTGAGAGAACTGTAGCTGGTTAAAAAAGGTACTGTAATTTCTTTACAAGGTGTCTTTATGACATGTATGTACATGCAAAAACACAAATGCAGCTACTATGTGTCCAAAATCATAAAGCGCTCTAAAGAGAGAATCTGAAAGGCCTTTCTGGTGAAAGCAGTACAGAATGGTTAAGGTTGGAAGGGACCTCTAGAGATCATCTAGTCCAACCCGCCCCAATCAAGCAGGGACCCCTAGAACACGTGGTGCAGGGTGGCATCCAGGCAGGTTTTGAAGGTCTCTAGAGAAGGAGACTCCATGACCTATTTGGCAGCCTGTTCCAGGGCTCTTCCTCACATAGAGATGGAACTTCTGTGTTTCAACTTGTACTCATTTTTCTTTGTCTGTATAACCCCCTTTTAGAAAACTCTACCCCTTAGTATTCCTGCTTGATGGAAATATGGCCACAGAAAATACCCAGCTTAATGAGGTTGTGCTCAAATTGCTGGGTTATTGCCTTCACAGGCAATTATTACCTTTTTGCCTCAGCCAAGATGAAACATAGCAAGTTTGCTGAGCAGCCTGCTCAAAGGTGTGCTTCTTTCTGTGCCATCTCCATCCCTTTTTTCCTTCACAAAAGGAACAAGCTTGAGTCGTAGGGCTGGAGACTTTTAACCTACCTAGAAAGTAGAAGCATGAAGATGAGAATGAGCTGATTTACCTGTTTGGCATGTTAGAACCAAGCCACCAGAGATCAGTCTCTCATTACAGCCAGGGAAGTTGTCTTCCTGTCCTCAAGGAGATATGTAACTAGTATAGCAAAGATAAGAGGACTACCAGACAATTGTTTTCAGATAGAGGGCTCCCAGCCTGAGTAGACTGAGCTCACCAGCTGGGGACCAAACTTGAACTGGGGTAAGTCAATGGAAAGGCACTGTTGTGTTAGAGGCTCTGGGCAGGCTGTGGAGTGATTGTCCTGGAGCAGGCTGTAGGTTGTACCTCCTGGAGGTAGGAGACACAGTATTTCATGCTGCACTGGAAAAATGTACCTTTTTTTTTCCCTTTTGTTTATAGACAGATTTGGAAGAAGAAAGACTGAAGCAAAAAATAGCTGACAGGACAATGAAAGACAAGCTGCGCATCTACTCTCTGAGACTATTTATAAATATAATTGTCCTTGCAGTTTTATCAGGATGTTTTTACTCTATTTATAGAGCAACTGTCTTTTCTCAAGAAAATAGCTCCACTGTAAGTATCAGACATGATATTAGGACAAACTGAAATACGAGACTGGTGACTAGAGCGAGAGGAACTATTGCAAAAGAGTCAAGTATCTTAATATAGCACCTTGCAAGGGATCTGCAAACACTTTCTGTAGAGGCAGAATTGGTTTAGCAGGAGAGAGTGAGAAGGATTATATTGTTGCAGCAGAGCAGTGATATCTCCCTTTGAAACAGAGACTATAGTGTCATGTCTTGGCAGCTGCCAAGAAAAGCAGCCCTCATTCCTTTGTAACTGTTCTCACCTCTTCCTAGAAATGCTTGTGTGTCTGCCCGGTAAACTAGCCCACAGAACTTACCTGGATTAAAAACAAAAAAAACTTCCTTATGGTCAGTACATTGATTTCGTTTGCTGCTCAACTGCAAAAAAAAGAAGAGCAAAAAGAGGGACTAGTAAAGATTATGATCAGTATTGTGGCTTCAGTTACCTCTGCGTGGGGAAACAGGAAGACTTTAAGCAGGGAGCACTTTGCAGAAGAAAAGGTTCTTGCATCATTAGTGAAAGGTTCTTGCATCATTAGTGAAGAGAATCTGGTTAGGGTGCATTGCTCACCCTTTGCAGGCCAAACTGTTGGGAAGAGTGGTTCAGAGGCAGTAAAAGAGCAGCCTACTGTGTGAAATAATCAGTAATTACATCTCTGGAGGACCTGGAGAATTGAATTAACCTTATATAAATAGAGCTTGCGCTTTTTGGTCCCCTCAGTATTGGTGATGTGATGGGCAGTGGTTCTCTCTAGGAAGAGATGTGCTGTCTGTGGACCTAACTCCTAACTTCTGTAAAGTGCTAGGATTGCAGAGAGAGAAGCAGGGAATGGGGACTAAAGAGATGTTTGTGTCAGAGGTGTGTGAGGATAGAGCAGTATCAAACAACTTAGAGAAGAGCTTCAGGAGTTTGTCTTGACCTTGCTGAAGTGAGTGTGTAGAGAAGCTTCTTAAAGTAACAGGGAAGTGGGAGGGCCTCTCTGGGTACAGAGGGAGTAACTGGAGACACTGAATGTGTCTGATACGTGTCTTGGGAGAAGGAATGAACTTTGTCAAACAGAAGCTTTGGGGGAAGCACTGAAATATTAACAGCCAGAGAAGGGGATGTAGTTACTGGTGAAGGTGCGTGGAAAAAGTAGAGTTCAGAGTAGTGAGCAGACTTGTGGCTCCAGCTAGGTGTGGAGGCTGAAGTCAAAGATGTTACCTGTGTACAGGGATGGCTTATGGGTAGCTGGAGAGAATAATGTCAGAAATGTGTTTGTGTGAGGTTATCTTTCTCTTATCTCTTTTTGCACAGAATGGCAACAATATAAATTTTGAAGCTAATCTCTTGGTACAGTATTTGCCTTCCATCGTAATCACGTTGGCCAACTTCATTGCTCCTCAGATCTTTTCACTTTTAATCAGGCTTGAAGATTATTCACCAGCCTTTGAAATCAGGCTCACACTGCTGAGGTAAGCATTTTCTTATTGTTATCTTGGACATTTTAGTAGCTTTTTCCTGGTAGAAGTATTGTAAACATTCTGATGTCGAGAAGCAGATAGTTTTGACTCCCTGGAACAGATGGCCTGGTCCCTGGAAGACAGGGGAAGACACTGTTTTTATGTTTAGTTGGAAATTTTAATTTTAAATCTGGATGTCTTATTTTGATTGCAGTGCAGTCATTTCAGTTTGTGGTTTTTTCCTCTCAATCCTATTTAACTCTGTGAGCTGGATATCTTCTACAGCCAGGATAATTAGTAGGGAAGTCAGGAGCTATAGGCTCATGCTGCTTTGCGTGCAGCATTTCCTTGGAAGAGCAAACATGAGTTCACAGCAATCAACGTCACTCATAGTATAATGCTGCAGAGCAGACACTGAAGCATTACTTTGCCCAAGGCAGAAGTTAAAAGCTTCAGGGTGAAAGAAACTTCAAGGTACTATAAGGAAAGGAAAACTGGAGTTTGGTAGAAAAAGGTGGTAAGATGGAGGCTGAAGCATCTGAGCTCTGTCAAGTCCCTGTGCTTAGTATTTCACGTTTGGCTAAATGCCTTTGAAGGTGTTGAAGCCTCCTAAGAGGAAGTGCTGAATACAAAAAACTCTTACCTGGCCGCTAAAGCAGCGCTTGAGTGAATAGCAACCCGTTGCTGGTTTGAGGTCAGCAACTGAAACACTCTAGGAACAATAGTGAGAAAAGAAGCATTGGACCATAGTGTAAAGAAGGGAAGGTGAAAAGCAGCTGAACATATTGGTGAAGAAATATGTTTGGTTTCTAGCTGATCGTTTTATTAAAGCTGTGTGTAACACTTCTGCGTTTAGAGCCCCGTGCAACTTCCTTGGACTCCTGTGTAAGTTGAGCCAGGTGCTAGAATGGCTCTTTTTTGACAGATTTGGAATGGGGTTTTGCCCTTCTTTCAGGTGTGTCTTTGTGCGCCTGGCCAATATCGGTGTTCTCATGTTCTCGCTGTGGAGTCAGATCTCCAGCTGTGCCACTGACAAGTGCAGTGCTTGTGGGTACAATTACGAACTCTATCCTGTAAGTAGATTTATCTTGGTCTTTAATCATCTGAATTTGTGATTAGAGATTTTTTCATGTGATTTGATTGCCTGTGGGTATTCAGAATCAAATCTGAGGTTGCTGTTCATATTATGCCCTATGCCGATTCTTACTGCTTGATATAAACTAGTGAAGTTTTTGTGTATATATATCACAGATCTTTCCTTGAGCTAAAAACTCTGATGGATATTGGTCCAGTGACAGGTTATTTGAATTGGCTATGTTTTGACACTACTTATTTTACAGCATTTTGCACCAGTGAGACAAAGGTCTTTCCTCTTTAAAAACAAAACAAGCAGACAAAAAGCTTGGGAACTCTAGAACAGTTAAAAGCTTTTTAGAAATGGGAGTTAATAGGATTTGAACTTCATGTTGTTAGTTCATTTAGAAGTTTGTTGTTGTAGTTCCTTTTTTTTTTTTTTTTTTAATTTAGACTTCTAATCCTGTTTTTCCTATCGTCTTTTTATAGTGCTGGGAAACTCAAGTTGGGCAAGAAATGTATAAATTGGTGATATTTGATTTTATTATGATTTTGGCTGCGACTCTATTTATAGACTTTCCTAGAAAGTGAGTATCGCTACCTTTTGAGCGTTCTTTTGTAGAATGACTTTTAAAATACTAGTTTCATCTTTCCATTGTTTATCCCCTATATTTCTAACCAGATCTCCAGTTTTAAAATAAAATGGAATCAAACTTTTGGTGATTTGATTACTTGTATTTGCTAGTCAAATAGCTGTGTGGTTTATGATATGTGAATCTTTATTTCTTCAGGCATTTTTCTATTACATTGTCTAATGCTTTAATGTTGATTTTCTGCATGTTCTGAAGACACATTTCAAATGTGTTGGGATTCAGATAAACTGCATAACTTCACTCTCGAACTAATGATGTTCTTTATTTTAGGTTGTTAGTTACCCACTGCTCCTGTAAGTTAATTCAGTGGTACGGTTTGCAGGAATTTGGAATTTCTGATAATGTCCTGGAAATCATTTATGGGCAAACTCTCTGCTGGATTGGAACCTTCTATTCACCGCTTCTTCCAGCAATAGCAACCATAAAATACTTTATTGTCTTTTATATTAAAAAGGTAATGTAGGTGTGTAGTAAATGAAGACAATTAAGTGCACCTTTGTGATTTTTGTAAGTTAAGTTAGCTTTTAAAGAAAACAAAAACCCAAGGATACAGGGTAATGGAATTCCATGCTCCTTTTTTTACTTTTTTTCTTTTAAAAAAGGTAGAGGGTTGTTTTGAAGTGATTAAGAAAAACTCTTTTCAGTGTCTGCTGCATCAGCTACTTGTCTAGCTCTGTAAAAAAAATATACAGCTATATATTAGCTTTAGCTAATATTAGCATTACTATATATTAGCTATATGGTACAGCTAGTTTATAATGCTTTTTTTTGCAATGGTACGTTTACCAGCAACAGAGCGTAAAACTTGGACAAGATCTGTCCAAGTAAAACTTAAAAAAAAAAAAAAAAATCAGCCTAAACAAAAGGGAAAACACAAGACGCAATGGAAGTTTAAGACCTGTGTTTTGCATATTGGAATATTTGTTTTATGACCAGAGAGTTCCTTCTGTGCAGCAAATTCACAGTAAAGCGTTTCCACATCTTCTTGTTGGTAGTTCAAAACTAAAGGTTGTTAGCTAGATCGTACACCCCATGACTGATGTCTGTTGACTTTGCGCAAGTGTACGAGGCCCTTCGGAACAAACCCTTGACCTGAAATAGGAGATGTTGAGAGCTACTAGAACCTGAAGTATTTCTGCCTTAGCCCTTTTCAGTGCATGTGCATCGAAGGAAGGTTATGTGATGATAGATGGTACCACATTTGAGGATGGAGAGTTGAGATGATGGGGAAAGTATAACTGGACTTGCATGCTTATTTAGATATTTACATATTGTTCTACTCTTGTTCTCTTTCCTTCTTCAGATTAGTTTGCTTCATACACGTAAGCCTTCAGCTAGGCCTATCAGAGCATCAAGTTCCAATTTTTTCTTCCTGGTGGTGCTGTTGATTGGGCTCCTCTTGGCTTTTGTTCCTGTGGGAGTCAGCATAGCATAGTAAGTGACAATTTAACCTTTATGAACTTCTCATTTGCTGTAATGCTAAGGTTGCTAGTTCCATAAAAGCAGGCATGCAACTTTAGGTTCATAATTTAGAATAAAATATATTTGTGTTTAATGAATTATTACTTAGCCCACAGGCATAAAAATAACTTTCAGAGGCAAATTTGTTTTTACACAATGAGGAAAAGAATGTAGGAATTGTTTTGGATTATTTAATCTTTGGTGCAGCACCTCTTCTCTGTTCCGTTCTCTTCCAGTATCCCTTCCTCTAAGGCATGTGGGCCATTCAGGAATTTTAACACTTCTTGGGCAGTTGTTCCAGATACCATACTTGGGTTTCCAACTGATTTGCAGAAGGTCCTTTATGGTATAGCATCAGAAGCCTTTGCAGTGCCTTTTTTTATGGTTGTCTGGTAAGTACTCTGGACACCTCGGTTGTGTAACTGGATGGTTCATTTCCTTCTTTACTGAACTGATACCAAACAAGTATTAGACCATTCTTACTGTCATTTGTCAGAGGCTTCACAGCCCATAGCAAGCTTCAGTTCTTCTGTCTTTGTTGGTCATATTCCTTAGCTTTATGCCCTTTCCTCCCAGATATCCCATGTCCCTCACTTGTCTTTCTCAAAAACTTCAGCTACCAATCATACTGCTAATTGATATTTCAAGCCCTCTCACAAATCCTGTCCACAAACTGTTTTTTTTTTTTTTAAGTCATTCCATAAGGTAAATTTCAGTATAGAATCGTAGAATGGTCAAGGTTGGAAGGCATCTCTGGTTAGCACTCAGTCCAGCCCCTCTGCTCAAAGCAGATTCAGCTACAGCAAGTTGCCCAAGACCGTGTCCATTTGTGTTTTGAATATTTACAGGGATGGAGAATTTGTAGGTTCTCTGGGGAACCTGTTCCAATGTTTGATCACCTCTACCCTTTACAGTAAAAAGGTGTGATCTTTTTCTTTTCTTTTTTCTTTTTTAAATCTTGGGTACAGATTTGTTTTCTGTTTCAGTTCAGCCTGACCGTTTTCAGATCATAGAGACTTGTTACGTGAGACTTTCTGTAAACTCTGCACTTGAGAAACTGTGTGACTTATTTTGGGTTTAACTCACCCTTTCTTCCTGGACATGTGCTTATGTGTTCTCCTGCACTGTCACTGTGTAAGCAGGAAATACCAAGTCTTCCATTTTGGTTGGTGGTGGGTTATTTTATTTGAGGTGAAGGCAAGGTTAAACTTGGAGTTCCAAAGTTCTTTCTAATAGTTTATCATAAAGCCCTTGTAACAGATAGAGCAGAAGTTGAACTACTACCATAATTCTTATTATTTGAAAGGTGGGGGGAGGGGGGAATGAGAGAGGTTTACAAATGTATTTGTGACATTCTAGTTCTTGCTGCTACTCTTCATGGTTTTATGTATTGTAGGTGATATTCTGGGTCACTGATTACCTTAGAAATACATGCAATAAGGAGTTAGTGTGATATTACTCTGTAGCTGTTCACTGTAAATTCAACCCACAGCGAGCATTGTCACGTCTGCAGGATGTCCTGCCTCTGCATCCTCAAGCACTTTGTCCCTCCCTGCTGACAGAACCACGTCTGGTTCAGCTGCTTTCAGTCAGGGCTATGTCCTGTCTTCCCGTGCTCTTCGTTGCTTCCCTCCCCAGTAGCTTCTATCTGAAGTGAATGCCTGAAATGGCAATTCCTCTGGCCCGGAACAGCCCTTTGCTGATTCATTCAGTGTTTCGTATGATGTAAACATGTAATGCTGGTTTCTTGTTTGCAGCATTGTTATGTTCTATTTCATTGCCTTGGCTGGAGCACACAAACGAGTTGTTGAGCAGCTGAGAGAGCAACTGGCTATGGTAAGACTTTTTTTAATACTGCTTCAGTTTTGTTTGTGTGTTGCATTAGTGGAGAACAGCCATATTCTTAGTCTTGCAATTATTTGGTGTTTGGACAGGCACTGAAGTTTTATAAATTATATAGGAAAAAAATTGCAAGCACTTCTGCCTGGTTGTTTTACTCGAGTATGAGCAGGAGCTGCAAAGCCCGACCACATCAGCCCACACACATGGGGGACAGAGTGGGCCTCTGAGCTGTGGGACTCTCTTCTCTACCCTGGTCCTGTTTCCTACATGCACGTGTGTTTGATCCTGCCAAAGTAGGACCTGAAGCTTGTGCTTTTGTCCCCTCCACCATTTTACGCAAACTCTGTCTCTCTTTCCTCCTGCACTCTCACAAACAAGCATCCCGTTCTTCCAACTCCTCACGTTTGGTCTGTTTGCTGAGTGCAGGTCCCAGCACTGCCTGCAGCAGGTACTCTCAGCACAGCAAGAGCCAGAGAAAGTCACCACTGCCAGACCTTTCAGAGAATGCTGCTAGTGCAGAGATGCTCATTTACCAGCCATTAGAGGCTGCTGCCGTGTACCGGTTTGACAGCATTCATATTCCATGTTCTAAAATTAGCCTTGCTATTAAAGCTTTCAAAGCTTTTTAGGAAGTAGCCTCTTCCTGTACTTGTTTCTTTTGCATGGGACACTGTAAGAAAATCAGTGGGTTGAGCAGAGTTATCGAAGAGCAACTGGTTTAGGAGCAATAGACTTCCTGTTTTGTGAAGGGCTCCCTGTCATAACTCCTATTTAGCAATAGCGTTTTAAAATTTTACGTGTGTCAGATGTTTTTACAAGGGACAATAGAGAGCTACCAGTGTGTGACCTAACATGAGGTGAATAAAATCAAGACAGTTGTAAACTTAAAATTGTTTAGATAACTGAGAGTGTGGGGAGCCACCTATCAGCTTAGTAGGTGAAGAAGATAGTTGAGATTTTGTAGTTTCTTCTTCTGTTTATGTAAAAGGGGTAAATTTTATTGTATCTTTCCAGGAAAGTCGTGACAAGATGTTCCTGATCAGAAAGATAACAGAAGCTCAGAAGCATACTTGAAAACCACACAAAACCAGAACAGCTTTACTTTCTGAAACTTCGGAACCACTAGATTAGAGTAGAATCATCTACAGCATTTAAGCTGAATATATGTTGAGCACCCAAACCCTGCAGTCTCTATAATGAATATTTACATTTCCACTGTTGATTATGTGAGCAGGGCTTAAAGTTTCCAAGACTTGAAATGTAACCTGTTTGTACTGTACTAGCCCTGTCCAAAAAAAGTCAATGATAGGTTGCTTCATTGCTGCTAGAGTTTCAGGGTTGTTATTGTTTATGTTAAAATCCAATATTTCCAGGTATTTGGGGTAAAATGTTCCCAGAACTGAGATTCCATTTAAAAGGTCTTTGAAATGTTTTTATAAATTATACTTAAGAAAGCGGAGGGGGAAGTCAGAGGAGTATTTACATATTTGCAACTCGCTTCTCTTTGAAAGCCAAACAGTTAAATTAGTATTTTGACATTGTGGATTGGAGGGAAAATAGCGCAAAGGCTTTTAATTGTTTTTTTAAAAAATATTTAACTTTTAGAGAAGATACTTGGATCTTTTGCTCTGAACTAACAACTGCAGTTGAACACTAGAGGACTGACCAAAAGGGTTTAGGGGAGAAAAAAAAAGCCTCCAACAGATGAAAATTCTGAATAACTCCTGGAAGAAACAGCGGTGTGTGGGCACGGAGGGGTGGACAGCCCTGCAGCACAGGTGGGGATCGCCCTGACACCAGCCCCTCTGCTTAAAACCTGGGGTGTGAATGCTCGAGAGTTAAACGACTGATCTATAAGGCAGAAATACAATATTCAGAAACATTTACAGGCCAGTACCCTTCAAATTCACGGTGATTCTTAACTCTTAAATGAATGGACGGAGCTGCATGGCTCCGGGAGAACATTTCCGAGCAGTCTGTTCCTATGAAGATTGTGGTTCTGTTAACCCCTCCTTCTCCTCAGAAAATCCTTCTGTGCATTACTTGAACGCTGTAATACAGTTATGCTTTTATGGAATGTTTTGGAACTTTTTCTGCCTCCTTTTACAAGAAGGTAATAAACGACTCCGTTTTATATATTCCTCTTTCCGTCACTGTTGAGAACAGCCGCTTGTTGGCGCCGCTCTCCTGAGCGCGGCGCGTCACACGGTTGCCGTGGGAACCGGGGCACGCCAGCTCTGACTGACAACCTCACTGCCCAACCCAGAGCCGCGGAGGAGGGCCAGGTAGCCAATGGGA